GTAAGAAGATAGTACTATGATGTTAGATGGTCTATCTATTGAACATCCTTGGTATAATTGGTAATTATTGTGAAGTAAGATAGTCCTATGATGTTAGATGGTCTATCTTTTGAAACAGTACACCATAAAAACCAATTATACCAAGCATGTTTCAATCAGGTAGACCATCTAACATCATATCATAGTAATATCTTACTTCATATATTAGAACCAATTTTACCAAGGATATGTCAATAGATAGACCTTTTAACATCATGGTGCTATCTTACCACAACATAATTATACAAAGAATATTTCAATAAATACTGAGAATTCAATTATTTTCTTGGGTAACAATTTTCGTGGATTAAGGACAACTTAATTTGATTTCGTCATTTTGACAGATTATGTATACATTCCTATTATAGAAAATTATTTATTTGTGTTGAACATTTGACATAGGGTGGTTCCCCTTTTTAAAAAGAATTGGTTTCCATCGAAAAATCATCACAGTACTACCTTACTACACCATTACAACCAATTATACCAAGCATGTGTCAATTGATAGACCATCTTACATTATAGTACTATCTTACTACACCATTACAACCAGTTACACCAAGGATGTTTCAATATTAAGATAGACCATCTAACATCATAGTACTATCTTACTACACAATTACAACCAATTATAACAAACATGTTTCAATAGATAAGACCATCCAATATCATAGTACTATCTTACTTCACCGTAAAAAAAAACAATTTTACCAAGCATGTTTTAATAGACAAGCCATCCAACATCATAGTACTATCTTACTACACCATGAATACAACAATAAACAGCTGCGCCATGAGCACATGATACGCCGTCGTCTTGTGTGTGAATTTTTATGCAATAATCATAAATAGTTTCTGACATACGGCGCGACATGCGAAAACCCCCCTTTTTTTTACAAAAAACTCAATATCTCTAAAATAAAATTTTTAATCAAAACCAAAACGTATGCAGATCTTTAGATTAATATAACTAAGAAGTGTGTAAAATTTTAAGTAATAATCATAAATCGTTTTTGAGATACGGCGTGACATGTGAAAACCCCCCTTTAAAAAAAAAAAAATCAATATCTCTAAAATAAAATTTTGAATCAAAACCAAAAAGTATACAGATCTTTAGATTAATATAACTAAGAAGTGTGTAAAATTTTAAGCAATAATCATAAATCGTTTTTGAGATACGGCGCGACATGTGAAAAACCCCTCCCCCTTTTTTTACAAAATACTCAATAACTCAAAAATAAAATTTTGAATCATCATCAAAAAGTATACAGATCTTAAAATTAATATAACTAAGAAGTGTGTAAAGTTTTAAGCAATAATCATAAATTTTTTTTGAGATACGACGCGACATGTGAAAAAAAGCACACACCTGTTTTAGTTACTAAGTCCCGTAACTCAAAAAGTTTTAATCTTATTTTCACCAAAGAGTATACAGATTATTTGACTATCATAAGAAACAACTGTGTTAAGTTTCATGAAATTTGGATAAGTCGTTCTCAAGTTACGGTGCGACATGTTTACGCCGGACAGACAGACGGACGGACAGATCGACGGACAGACGGACAGACATTTGTATACCATAATACGTCCCGTCAAAATTTTGACGGGCGTATAAAAATCAAGTATACCAAATGTGTTTCAATAGCCTACGGGTGCAGAATTTTCTTGCTGTGTTGAAGACCCATTGGTGGCCATTGGCTGTTTTCTGCTGTTTGGTCGGGTTGTTGTCTCTTTGACACATTCCCCATTTCCATTCTCAATTTTACAGAGTTTGTCTTTAGTGCTGTGTGGAGGTTTATGCTCTTGTAATATACTAGATAATGGAGTGTGTGTCCGAGCGAGAACTTTTCTAGATTTATAACTTTTGAAATATTTATCTAAAACTAATTTTTCACTATTCAGCCCCATTCTACTATTTAGTCAGACGTCAAACGCTACCCTGATATACCCTGTCTTTTGTTTTGTGTCCTCTGTAGTTTACGTATGTTGTCGGGTACTTGATGACAGATAGCGTTTGGCGTCTTCAGCCGTACAGTTTTATCTTTTTACTTTATTCAATTCCTGTGTGCTGGTTCATATTCTGGGCGCCAGTCTTTGCTCCTTTCAATTTAAATACGGATATCTATTTACTCACATGAAACAAACCGGGATGCAGTATGCAGTACGTAGGTGAAACTGGGCTTTATCTATCTAAACGCACGCAAGAACACCTTTTTCGTTTTAAAAGACCTAATAAATTCAAAAGTATCATTTATCAACACCTTAAGAAGCACAATTATTCTATTAAATATGTAACACTCCCAAACGTGTCCGATTCCCCAAAACGTGTCTATTCTCCCCAAACGTGTCTGTAATATTCAATATGGCCCAAACGTGTCCGATTTCAAAACCCCCAAACGTGTCCGATAATTGTTATTCGCCAAAACGTGTCCACTGTTAAACGCCAGAACGTCTCACGTCTTTTAGCGCTAATACATGTATGTCCTAAATGAAATCAATAACGTTTACGGCAGTTCTATGATGGGGGAAACAGTTGATGAGGTAGTAATTTATTAGCATTTAATTTAGTTTGTTCAATACCGGTTGTTAATGATTATCATAATTGCAAATTTAATATGTAACATATGAATTAACTTTTGACTGAATTTGCTTATTGTCCAGTTGCAAGTATTTCATGCTTATTTATAGCGAACATACAAATAATTCTAGTGCAGTTGAATTTTTCGTTTACCATGTAAATTATGTGTTATTAATAAACTCCGATGATGCCTTTTATATTAATCCGACGGCGGGCTTTCAGCAGAACTGACTTCCCTTTTTTTTCTTCAAATCATAAAATGGTTTTCAGGTTTTTTTAATAAATTTTAGGTTCCGAGCATCACTAAAGACACACAAACAAGAGAAATAACGTCCAGTGCCAAATATTTCATGCATTATTTGAACGACATCATGTTAACAATAAATACTGTATATAGGTTCTATTATCATACCAAGAATTTAGAATTGTGCCTAAATTTTGACGGTTATTAGGGATTAACACTAGTTTGGATTTTAATCTAAAAAAAAATAAGTGCGAGTGAAGACCGATTTTTTTATGACTTCAGTAAGAAATCACTGCAATCTCCGTTATGTAATAAAGGACGTTTTAAATAAAAGTTGCGGAAATTTTTTTTGGGGGGATTGGGCACGTTTGGGTGTTCATTAAAAAATGGACACGTTTGAGCGATTAGACAAATGACACGCTTTGGCACCCTTTTACATTTAGACATGTTTTGCAGTTCAGTGACGTCATGTGGACACGTTTGGGGGAAGGACACGTTTCTGAGTGTTACAAATATTTAGCAGTTCAACCTTTAGAAGTAGTCATTAAGCAGCCTCGGGAATCTCAAAGTTTGTACGATCACGGAAAATAATTGAATTAAATTAGATTAAGTAAAGTGCTCCGCTGGGGGCAGTTTGATACGACTGCAGAGGTCGAACCCTGAACAGTTGGGGCAAGTATGGACACAACATTCAAGCTTGATACAGCTCTGAATTTGGATTGTGATTAACTATTTGACACAGCATAGGTTTCTGACACAGAATGAATGTGGTCTAAGAACTTAAATTTTTTTAATTTACCTATTATGGTCCAATATCCAAAATCTAAATACATGGTTAGATTCAGCACATCAAAGAATCCAAAGAATTCAATTTTTGATAAAATCAAACAAAGTTTAATTTTGGACGCTTTTGACCTCAATGTGGACCAATTTGATAACGGGGCCCAAAAATCAAAATACATGGTTAGATTCAGCATATCAAAGAACCCCATATATTCAATTTTTGTTGAAATCAAACAAAGTTTAATTTTGGACCCCGATTTGGACCAACTTGAAAACTGGGCCCATAATCAAAAATGTTAACACATGTTTAGATTCAGCATATCAAAGAACCCCAAGATTTCAATTTTTGTTAAAATCAAACTAAGTTTAATTTTGGACCCTTTGGACCTTATTGTAGACCAATCTAAAAAATGGGACCCAAAATTAAAATTCTAAATACACGGTTAGATTTGGCATATCAAAGAACCCCAATAATTCAATTTTTGATGAAATCAAACAAAGTTTAATTTTGGACCCTTTTGACCTCAATATGAACCAATTTGATAGCAGGGCTCACAAATAAAAAATCTAATACATGGTTAGATTCAGCATATCAAAGAACCCCATATATTCAATTTTTGTTGAAATCAAACAAAGTTTAATTTTGGACCCCAATTTGGACCAACTTGAAAACTGGGCCATAAATCAAAAATCTAAATACATGTGTAGATTCAGCATATCAAAGAACCCCATATATTCAATTTTTGTTAAAATCAAACTAAGTTTAATTTTGGACCCTTTGGACCTTAATGTAGACCAATTTGAAAACTGGACCCAAAATAAAAAATCTTAATACACAGTTAGATTTGGCATAACAAATAAATAAATGTAGTCGAAGATTTTACAAATCTAATGCACCATACTGTGCAATTAAGGATTACTTCTTGAAATTTTTCAATATTTGAAATTTAATAAAATGCTTCCCTGAGGCGCAGCTTGATACGACCGCCGAGGTCGAACCCTGAACAGTTGGGGCAAGTATGGACACAACATTCAAGCTTGATACAGCTCTGAATTTGGATTGTTATTAAATATTTGACACAGCATAGGTTTCTGACACAGAAAGAATGTGGTCTAAGAACTTGAATTTTTTAAATTTACCTATTATGGTCCAATGTCCAAAATCAAAATACATGGTTAGATTCAGCATATCAAAGAACCCCATATATTCAATTTTTGTTAAAATCAAACAAAGTTTAATTTTGGACCCCAACTTGGACAAACTTGAAAACTGGGCCCATAATCAAAAATCTAAACACATGTTTAGATTCAGCATATCAAAGAACCCCAAGAATTCAATTTTTGCTAAAATCAAACTAAAGTTTAATTTTGGACCCTTTGGACCTTAATGTAGACCAATTTAAAAAACGGGACTTAAAATTAAAAATCTAAATACACAGTTAGATTTGGAATATCAAAGAACCCCAATAATTCAATTTTTGATGAAATCAAACAAAGTTTAATTTTGGACCCTTTTGACCTCAATATGAACCGATTTGATAGCGGGGCCCACAAATAAAAAATCTAAATTCATGGTTAGATTCAGCATATCAAAGAACCCCATATATTCAATTTTTGTTGAAATAAAAAAAAGTTTAATTTTGGACACCAACTTGGACCAACTTGAAAACTGGGCCCATAATAAAAAATCTAAACACATGTTTAGATTCAGCATATCAAAGAACCCCAATAATTCAATTTATGTTAAAATCAAACTAAGTTTAATTTTGGACCCTTTTGGACCTCAATGAAGACCAATTTAAAAAACGGGACCCAAATTAAAAATCTAAAAACACGGTTAGATTTGGCATATCAAAGAACCCCAATAATTCAATTTTCGATGAAATCAAACAAAGTTTAATTTTGGACCCTTTTGACCTCAATATGAACCGATTTGATAGCGGGGCCTACAAATAAAAAATCTAAATACATGGTTAGATTCAGCATATCAAAGAACCTCATATATTCAATTTTTGTTGAAATCAAACAAAGTTTAATTTTGGACCCCAATTTGGACCAACTTGAAAACTAGGCCCATAATCAAAAATCTAAATACATGTTTAGATTCAGCATATCAAAGAACCCCATATATTCAATTTTTGTTGAAATCAAACAAAGTTTAAATACTGGACCCTATCCTGGACCAACTTGAAAACTGGGCCCATAATCAAAAATCTAAACACATGTTTAGATTCAGCAAATCAAAGAACCCCAAGAATTCAATTTTTGTCAAAATCAAACTAAGTTTAATTTTGGACCCTTTGGACCTCAATGTAGACCAATTTAAAAAACAGGACCCAAAATTAAAAACCTAAATACACGGTTAGATTTGGAATATCAAAGAACCCCAATAATTCAATTTTAGATGAAATCAAACAAAGTTTAATTTTGGACCCTTTTGACCTCAATATGAACCAATTTGATAGCGGGGCCTACAAATAAAAAATCTAAATACATGGTTAGATTCAGCATATCAAAGAACTTCATATATTCAATTTTTGTTGAAATCAAACAAAGTTTAATTTTGGACCCCAATTTGGACCAACTTGAAAACTGGGCCCATAATCAAAAATCTAAATACATGTTTAGATTCAGCATATCAAAGAACCCCAAGAATTCAATTTTTGTTAAAATCAAACTAAGTTTAATTTTGGACCCTTTGGACCTCAATGAAGACCAATTTAAAAAACGGGACCCAAATTAAAAATCTAAAAACACGGTTAGATTTGGCATATCAAAGAACCCCAATAATTCAATTTTCGATGAAATCAAACAAAGTTTAATTTTGGACCCTTTTGACCTCAATATGAACCAATTTGATAGCGGGGCCTACAAATAAAAAATCTAAATACATGGTTAGATTCAGCATATCAAAGAACCTCATATATTCAATTTTTGTTGAAATCAAACAAAGTTTAATTTTGGACCCCAATTTGGACTAACTTGAAAACTTGGCCCATAATCAAAAATCTAAATACATGTTTAGATTCAGCATATCAAAGAACCCCATATATTCAATTTTTGTTGAAATCAAACAAAGTTTAAATACTGGACCCTATCTTGGACCAACTTGAAAACTGGGCCCATAATCAAAAATCTAAACACATGTTTAGATTCAGCAAATCAAAGAACCCCAAGAATTCAATTTTTGTCAAAATCAAACTAAGTTTAATTTTGGACCCTTTGGACCTCAATGTAGACCAATCTAAAAAACAGGACCCAAAATTAAAAACCTAAATACACGGTTAGATTTGGAATATCAAAGAACCCCAATAATTCAATTTTAGATGAAATCAAACAAAGTTTAATTTTGGACCCTTTTGACCTCAATATGAACCAATTAGATAACGGGGTCCACAAAAATCTAAATACATGGTTAGATTCAGCATATCAAAGAACCCCATATATTCAATTTTTTGTTGAAATCAAACAAAGTTTAATTTTGGACCCCAATTTGGACCAACTTGAAAACTGGGCCAAAAATCAAAAATCTAAATACATGTTTAGATTCAGCATATCAAAGAACCTCATATATTCAATTTTTGCTAAAATCAAACAAAGTTTAATTTTGGACCCTTTGGACATTAATGTAGACCAATTTGAAAACTGGACCCAAAATTAAAAATCTAAATACACTGTTAGATTCGGCATAACAAATAAATAAATGTGATCAAAGATTTTACAAATCTAATGCGCCATACTGTGCAATTAAAGATTACTTCTTTAAATTTTTTTCCCCCAAAAAAAATTCTTTCCCTCAAGATATGGTCATAATCTCAATTCAAATTTCCAATGGAGTTGGCAACCATAATTACCCATTTAAATTTACCATAGTGCTAACTTAATCTATTTTATAATAGAATTAATAAAAATATAGTGTCAAATCTTTCATATGGATTTTTTTGTAAAAAAAAAAGATGAAAACATTTGCAGATATTTTTACTGGTCTTCCTTTATAAATATGCATTTCTTTAAACATAATTTAATAGCAGTGTAAGGGAAGTAACCAAAACGTTGTATTTGGATTACCTCCCTTACACTGTTTTAGATTATCTTTATTGTTCATTAACCATTACTTTATACATAATTTAAAAGCAGTGTAAGGGAGATAATTTCAATGATGTATTTGATTTATCTCCCTTACACTGCTTTAAATTATGTTTTGTACTAAAGTATTTGTCCATTAACCAGGACAACCTTGTTTTTCCCCCTTTTTTGCCCCTAATTCCTAAACGGTTTGAGCCATAACCCCCCAAAGCAAATCCTAACCATCCCTTTGTGGTATGGAAACTTGTAGTATAATTTCAGAGAGATCCATACACCGTTCCACAGTTATTGTCTGGAAACTAGAAAATGCTCATTTTTGGCCCCTTTTTGGCCCCTAATTCCTTAACTGTTGGTACCATAACCCCCAAAATCAATCCCAACCTTCCTTTTGTGGTATTTAACCTTATGGTCAAATTTCAAAAAGATCCATTCACTTAAACTAAAGTTAGAGTGCGAAAACCAATATGTATTCGGACGACAACGCCGGACATTCCCCCTTTTTTGCCCCTAATTCCTAAACGGTTTGAGCCATAACCCCCCAAAGCAAATCCTAACCATCTCTTTGTGGTATGGAAACTTGTGGTATAATTTCAGAGAGATCCATACATCGTTCCACAAGTTATTGTCTGGAAACTAGAAAATGCTTATTTTTGGCCCCTAATTCCTTAACTGTTGGTACCATAACCCCCAAAATCATTCACAACCTTCCTTTTGTGGTATTGAACCTTATGGTAAAATTTCATAGAGATCCATTCACTTAAACTAAAGTTAGAGTGCAAAAACCAATGTGTCTTGGACGACGACGCCAACGTAATACCAATATACGACCCCAAAATTTGTTTGTGGTCGTATAAAAATTACAGACAGTCTATCCTCTCGGCCTTAATGATAATGATAAAGAACAAATTCCTGGATATTTTGATAATACTGAACTCCCTCTTATTTGTTATGTTTACAAAAAATCCACCCGGAAATATGTGTTAAATCATAGCGAAGTGTGTAAAGATGTTAATATCAGTGAAATTACATCTACGTCATGAAATTGCAGTAATTCCAAATACATTTATGGCCCCAGTTCCCATGTTATAACAGGAGACCTTAAAATTGTTCATGACCGAGAGTTGAAATCATTCCTCAGTAAAGGACCTAAATATCGTCCCTCGTCAATTATTAATTGGAATGAGTGTGGTAACATCATCCACAACTCACTCCGGACTTACTGCTCAAAATGGATAAAACAAAAAAAAAACTGACAAAAAATCTTTAGAACATAGTTGATATTCGTATTCAACATTTTAAAGAACATTTCACCCCCAACATCTGTTCACAAACTGTAAGCTCATGATTATTAACGTGTGTGTTCGACAGCAACATGCAAGTGTATGCTGAGTTAGCAATTTCACACACAACAATGAAAAACTACAAATTCTACACATATACTTTATTATATATATATATACATATATACAAAAGTGAATGAACATTCAATATCAAAAAATTAAAATAGAATAGTAATGTAGATTGGTGAGATGTACATCCAGTCATGTTAATAAATAATTGTAAAATGCAGTATTATTGAAAAAATTCATATACTGTAATTAATATATACAAAAATTTAATATTTTTTTTTAATAATTGATCAAGATCAAATTGGTAATGTCTTGAATGTTTTAAACTGAGGGTGACTATATATATAAATTAATAAATGTAAAAAGCCTTAAAAATAAGATAAGTTAGATTCCATCAATAAAATATATATACAAATTTCAACAAATCATTCAAATTGATTATATATCTTTAGCTAGAAGATAATAGTTCAAGCTTGTTTTTTTTAAATTTACACAATATTTCACCCGTAATATACTGATTTAAAACTAGAGGCTCTAAAGAGCCTGTGTCGCTAACCTTGGTGTATGTGCATATCAAACAAAGGACACTCTTCAACATTGACACTTCATGACAAAAATCTCAATTTTGTTTATCTTGTATTACTGATCTTTCAGTCTGCTTACTTTCTCTCTATCTTCTTCAGTTTTTGCTCAAAACTCAAAAGAGGGTAAAAAAAATCCTCATTTAAGGGCAATCACTCCTATGAAGAGTGACAGTCTACTAACAATATTGGCAAAATTTGACTTTTTAATAGATCTTGCCTTGCTGGTAATTTTTGTGATTTAAAGTGTTTATTTATCTATTTTAATTTAAATCATATACAGCATTTTTTTGGCTCATTTCAGATTTTCTCTATTTATAACGGTTCAAAAATTAGACAAAACTTGCATTTTACCCTTATGTTCTATTTTTAGCCATGTCTGCCATATTGGTTGGTAGACGGGGTCATCAGACACATTTTTTTAAACACCCTAATGATGATTGTTGCAAAGTTTGGTTAAATTTGTCTCAGTAGTTTCAGTAGAAGATTTTTGTAAAAGATTACAAAAATTTACAAAAAATTGTTAAAATTGACTATAAAGGGCAATAATTCCTTAAAGGGTCAATTGACCATTTTGTAGATCTTACTTTGTTGTACATTATTGCTGTTTACAGTTTATCTCTATCTATAATAATATTAAATATAATAACCAAAAACTGCAAAATTTTCTTAAAATTTCCAATTCAGGGGCAACAACCCCACAAAGGGTTGTCTAATTTGTCTGAAAATTTCAGGGCAGATAGATCTTGACCTGAGGAATAATTTTAACCCTTTCAAATTTGCTCTAAATGCTTTGGTTTCAGAGATATAAGCCAAAATCTATATTTTACCCCTATGTTCTAGTTTTAGCCATGGCGGTCATGTTGGTTGGCATGCCGGGTAATCGGACACATTTTTAAATCTAGATACCTCAATGATGATTGTGGCCAAGTTTGGTTAACTTTGGCCAAGTAGTTTCAGGAGAAAATTTTTTTAAAAGTTAACGACAGACCATGACGGACAACAGACACTGAGTGATGAGAAAAGCTCATTTGGCCATTTCGGCCAGGTGAGCTAAAAAAGAGTAGTAACTATCTAACAAATAAATTATTTGAATGTGTAGTTTCTCAGATTGACAATTTTAAAGAGAATTCATAAATTTTGTTGAAGCTCCAATAAATATAAAACTGGGTCAAGAAAGTTTAACAAGCATTGTTTAGTTATCATCTGCATGTTTAAGTGAGCAATCATCTTAGTAGACAGAAACAAAGCTAGAATTGATTACATTGTCAATCTCACAAACAAGCAAACACAACTTAATGTGCAGCACAGAAGCAAATTAAAGAAAACTGAATCATAATTTCCTGTTGATATACACATCTAGATAGAATGTCATAACTATCTACAAAGTTTCATGAAATTCTGCTGTGTGGTTTTGAAGAGATGTGACAAGAAGGACGGGACTGACAGATAGATGGACTGATGGACAGATGGGTTAAAAACACTATACCATACACAACTTTTTTGCATGGGATATAATAATGAATACTGACACAAAAAAGAAATGCATGTTGATTGGGTATAAATTTTCATAAATATTGACCGCAGGTTTTATTTCAGTATGAGTTTTTGATAATTCTGTGGATTTATATTCTTGTGGATACCATTTTTTCTTGGACTGAGAAAATTTTTTTTCATAGATATATGATCTTGTGGTTTTGCCATAATTGTTCAGCGCTGATTATCAAACTCGTCCAAAAAGTTGATGATATAAACCTGTAATATAAATTTCATAAAAATCTGGCAAGAAATGTACACTTATGAGTAATAACAATTCAATTTTCAATACAATTAATGTTCTAAGGGGCATAACTCTTTCAATAATAATTGATCGACATTTTTTTCTGAACTCGTCCACGACATTACTGATATAAACCTATGATATAAGTGTCATAAAAATTTGGCAAGAATTTAACTCGTGAGAGCACTTACAATGCAATTTTCCATAACATTAATGTTTCCAAGGGGCAAAACTCTTTTAAAAATAATTGCTCTGCATTGATTTTCATAAAAATCTGGCAAAAACTGTGCAGTGAGAGGGCTTACAAGACCAGACGGACAGAAGGACGCCCAGTATTTTATGTCCAACACAAGACGTTCCCTGGGGTCAAAAAAAGAAAATTGTTGAGGCAATTTTGATATCTTACTTCACAGAAGTGCAGATGGACAGACAGAAAAAGAGATTCCAATAGGCACCACTGACTAGTCTTCTGGCACTAGAGGCTTATTAGCAGTAAACCACAGTCAAATAGTTAAAATGAAAATGTTACAACTTTCTTAAATTACTAATTCATTAATGTGTATAATAATTGCCATCAAATTTGTATACATGTATATAGACATTTTAATATAACAATATGAATATAATAACAACAAAACACAATAAGTTGATGCAATAAAAATGTAACATAATATAGTTTCTAATGATACATTGGTAAAATGCAATATAAATTGTCCTTGTTTCATGTCATACCAATTATATAATTATGCATTGATAATGGATACAAGATATGTGATGCATACAACATTGTTAAGTATTTGCACATGTTTACAAATTAATATATTTAAACACACTTTTATGGATCTTTTTAACAGATACAAATCCATTTATACAGATATCATACATTTAAGTTAGATAAACAAACAAGGGGCTCTCAAGAGCCTGAATCACTCACCTGTTATTTTTTTGCTTAAATCTTTCATCAATGATTTTTTTTGCTTTTCAATATAAATTAATGAGTGGCTTAAAAATGCCATTTAAATGTTCATTGTATCTGTCATATTTTCTTCAAAAGCAAATGAATGCATTTTACCCATATGTTCCATTTTAGCCATAGTGTCTATGTTTCTTGACGTACAAGGAAATGAAATACAAAATTTATACTAGATTCATTTGAGAAGATTTTTAAAGTTAAAAAACATAACCAACTTGTGTAAAATTGTCCTTAAAGGGCAATTACTCCTTAAGGGGTCAATTGACAATTTTGGTCATATATAACTTTTTTGGAGATCTTACTTTGCTGAACATTTTTGCTGTTTACAGTTTATCTTTATCTTCAATAATATTTAAGATTATAACCAAAAAACTGCAAAATTTCCTTAAAATAACCAATTTAGTGGCAGCAACCCAACAATGGGTTGTTCGGTTTGTCTGAAAATTTCAGGGCTGATAGATCTTGACCTTTTGTAAATTTTTACCCCTGTCAGATTTGCTCTAAATGCTTTAGTTTCTGAGATATAAGCCAAAAACTGCATTTGACCCTTATGTTCTATTTTTAGCCATGGCGGCCATGTTTGTTGATGGATCAAATATTGGGATACAATTCATAAACTAGATTCCTAAAGGAACATTCATTCAAAGTTAAGAAGTATTAGGCACAATAGTTTCAGAAGAGAAGATTTTTGAAATAGTTTACAACGACAGACAAACAACGACGATGGACGCCAAGTGATGGCATAAGCTCACATGGGGCCCTTTGGGCCCCGGTGAGCTAAAAAGGGTTGACAGGCCAATTCATTAATATTTTACTGAGTCATAAGCCATAAAACATTGCTGACCAATTTCTGGTTTTCAATTAAAACAAGTATTCGTTGATCATTGCATGGCAATACATAGTCCCCTAACGGTTAAAAATTGTATTGGAACAAAATTCCATAACAAGGACCATAACTCTGCACAAAATCATCAGACTGGAACAAAATGCAAACTTGAACTGTAACTTGTCATGATAAAACTATATACCAATTATCAAATCAATATCTTCAAGAATGACAAAAAAAAATGCGGAAAACTGATTAATTTACTGAATTTTCTAAGTCAAAGAACCATAACTCTGCACAAAATCATCAGACTGGAACAAATTTCGAACTTCATCTATAACTTGTAATGATAAAACAATACACCAAATATCATATCATTATCTTCAAGCATAAAGAAAAAAAGTGTGGAAAACTGATTTGCCGGACTGACGGATGGACAGATGGACGGAGGTCAAACCTAAAGCCCCCTTCCACTTTGTCAGTAGGGGACTAAAAAAACTATTGACAAGTAAGACCGTTTGCATATTTTTATTTAAACATAAATTATTGGTTAAAAGGATATTTATGTTCCTGAAAAGATTTTGAAAAACCCTAAGAAAAACTTATGCAACAGGTAGTCAAAAATCATTAAGATATTTTTTTGGACAATCCATTTGTCTTCATATAAGGTACATGACTGTTCCTTGAGTGTCTGACAATCTTTCAGAATTATCATATCAAAAATGTATTGGTCTATGAATTAAGCAGTTTGGGTTAATGACATCAATCAAGATATGATACATTTAGTTTGGAGGAATGCAAATAAACTCATCATAGATACATGTACTTTTTACATGATTTATTGCCCTTGAAATGATTGATTACAACATTCAGGGCATACAATACAGTAGCATGTTCAGATAGCTATTTATTCAAGTTAAAGGTAATTGTTTTCATGACATTCTTATAAAACACATTTGAATTTTTAGGGAAAAAATGAGATGCCTTTCAATAAGGAAGCACTTTACACCCCCCTCCCCTTTACTGTAGGACATAAAATCATTTTGATATTAATTTTCACTATTATTGTAATAAGTGTATGTTTGCCTATTTGTAAATCTTATCTCGTTGTATTTTTGTAGGGCTTGTATCAACGATTGTTTTACTTTTTACTATTTATATCTATATACTGTGAATTCATTAATATTCGTTGGATACCAATTTTAGTGGATTTCGTGGGTACAGATAGAGGAACCATGAATTCAAATATTCAACGAATTACAAATTTTCTAAAGGAATGCATGCAGTCTTTGCCAAAACAACGAAATTAAATATCCACGAAATTGCAACTTTTCCTGAAACCACGAAAATTGATACCTACGAAAATAAATGAATCCACAGTATCACAGTTTCGAGATAATTGCCAAATATTATTGGTGTTATGATCCAGCCCATTTTTTTAATACCTTATACTGTTGAATAGCAATACAATTGCTAATAAACAATAATTTTATTACAGTAAATGCACAGATTAAATAAATACAACATGTTTATTGTTTAAAGCAAATAACTGACAACTGATATTAAAATTAACTTGAGAATAATATAAGTTGATTATGGCACTAATTTTTCGGGTCAAATAGACCCTACCTGCCTTTTAAAACACAATATTTTTTCCATCTTATTGATCCTTTATCATTGATCTTTGCCACATAATTTACTGAAAATCCATTTGAAATAGACCTTGACCTGCTGATCATTGTAACCCTTGGTCAGTTTTGCTCTTACTGTTTTAATTTTTCAAGTGTAAGCCAAAAACTGTGAGATTTGGTAAAATTGTACATTTTGGGGGCAATATCTCTAAAACAGGTTGTATTTTTTATAGAAATTCCAGAAGGTATAGACTTTCCATTCTCAATTTTATTTGACCTGTTGACAATTTTTCTCTTACTGCTTTTATATTTAAGATATTATTCAATCCAAAAACAGCATTTTACCCCTATTTTTATTAACAGCAGCCATGTTTGATTGATCTAATCCCCATATACAGTTTTTTACTAGATTCACTAGGAAACATTCAGGTAAAAGTTTGATAAAGTTTGGCCCAGTATTTTCAGAGAATTTTTGGACAGACACACAGACAAACAACATTAATGGATGCCAATTGATGGCAAAAGCTGACATGGTCTGTTATACCAGGTGATCTTAAAAAGATTTTGTGTAAAATACTTTGTACAATATCATTTATATATTTATATTATTAAGTCTCATAAAATTTTCTATCAAGATACCTCGAGATTCTTCACAGAGAATATCATAAGGTGGTGAATAATAAATAGTAGCTTCATCATGATCATCAAGCTCTTGGTTGTTTTTCAACTTTTCTAAATGCTTTCTTGACATTTCTAAAAGGGTGAATATGACCTAAAAATAAAGAATTTTTATTTTATACTAACCAAGAAAAATATGCTCGATGGCACCAATCTTTACATACAATCAATAATTTAGTTTGTTCTATTATAATTAAATGATATATTGATTGATAGTTGGTTGCCTTACACCCAGTGACAAATATCAAAAGCACATATAAATAAAAGAAGAACACATCTTAGTACACACAGGCCCTAGCTCAATCTTTCTTATAAAATGTGAAAATACTTTTTGAGTGCATTTGATATCACTGCTAGTTTTTAGAGTTCTATTGTTCTAGTCTTAGGTTTTTTTGTGCTGTGCATTATTTTCATATTTTCACTTGTTTTGTTTTTATTTCTTATGTTAAAAGTTTTCTGATAAGTGCTGTTGTGTCCAGTAAATTTCTCAGTTCTTGAATAATGTTTTGGTTCTTTTACTTCTAATCTCTTTGTTAGCTGTACTTGTTCATTTGATACTAACATGACTTAGCATTTATGAGCATTTTATTTGTCGTTACAGCTCAGGAATGAAAAATCTGAGCATTGTGCTTTAAAAATAGCATTGTGTTTCATAAACTTTGAACGAGGCAAACTTAAGTAAGATTTTGGGACTGAAAAAATTAGCAATTTTCGAAGTTATAAAGGGGCATAACACTAGAACAATAAGTGACTCACTGCCAAAATTCCAACTCTGTCTGCATGTTCTGATTCTTAGCATAGTGTATGGTTTTCATAAAATTTGTATATAAAGGCAAACTTAAGTTAGAGTGTAGAAACAAAAAATTGAGCATTAAAATATTTTTACAAACAGTCTAACAAGTAGGCTCTGTAAAATTATAGTGAAAAATGCAAAAACTAGGTAAAGATCATTTCAGGCCAATAGCTCCTGTGAAAAGTTGACCGAAGATTTGGGCTAGGACAAGATAAAAGATATGTGTGTTTCCAGTACCCGACCGACCCCCTTTTCAGCCACAATTGGAAACATTTTATTATCGTTGAATTAAAAAAAAAATCCGAATTATTTTTGTTTTTTTTCCCACTGGATACAGTTTTTTTTAGAATAGCCTTCGAGTTGCATCTTTTAAACATTTGATTTCAATGGAAATTTTAAATACAGTAAGCATTTGTAAGATATAGATTAAAGCTAAACAAAAGGCATGGCTACTGCCAGTGCCTCCTTCAGGCAAAGTGTGTTATCGATAACATTTCACGTTTGATCTGGGACTATTATACTAATGGGACTGGAAACCGTTACATCAATCAGTGTAATAATACTCAACATCAAGGTCGTTAGAACAAGACTTTACCTGCGCGATTTATCGATACGCCATATTGTTTTGACAGTGACAGCGTGCCTTGATGTTATAATTTCGGTAATTTGTTTTTTTGTTTTTATAGTTATTCGAAATGATAATCCCTAATGTAAACACGATTACTATAATGATAAAAGATATCTCCATCTTTGACAGTTGTTATTAATCACCAAATCCCGCCTAAGTGTAAAAAATGACATATAAAGGTTGAACTTTTCAGGATGATAATAGGGACGTGGGGACGTGTGGTAAAAATATGATTCTTAAAATTTCTTAAAAATGTTGATTGAAAAGAGATATGCAAGTTCAGTTTGTTGTAAAATCATATTTATAGGTTATAGGTTGGATTGGCTTTTTTTTATTGTCACTTTTTTAAGTGAAAAGTGGAATATTGATCTCTTTCTCGTTATAACCGGAAACCACATGCAGGGCTCAAATAAATTATACTGTTCCTATTAAATTGCCTACTCCTTTTTTTGTGTGCAATATTTTTATTAAATTCTGGGTTTAATGGTCTTCAGGTGGCATTGGCATATGACTTCGTGAAATTATGTAAAATAGGTTCCACAATCAGAACTACAAAAGTAGGCCTGTTCACAGCGGCTTTTTTTGCAGCCATATTGAAATCTAGGTGTAAACACAAAGTTTAGAAAAGTTCAAAACAATGTGGCTATATTTTTATGAGACCCAGGTAACTTTTGTTATAGGAATTAATTATGAACTTAAATTGCCAACAGTGTTTTTATTGCACACTTATTGTTTTTATTAGGATTAATTATGATCTGTTAACCTTTGACAAGTGACATATGTACATGTCTCTGCCTTCGACATATTGTTTTCATAGCGGTCAAGTAAAGTGCCAGCATTTCGACTATATTTGTTTTATTTTCAACGCTAATACATTGACTATTTATTAATAATGTTTTCGTAAACAATAAGAAAAATATTTATCTTTCAAAACTACTTCGACAATTAAGTTAGGATAAAGAAGAACTTAGTTTAATAGTCCCAGTTTTGATCAGCATTAGTTTATCCCCGTGTAAAAACATTTATTTCAAGTAAATGTATTTCATCTGTTAAAATGGTTTTATGTTTTGCATTTAATTTTTTTCTTTTTTTTTAATTTCAAATCCACCAGTTTTAACGGTATTCTATATGCTGACTTGTTCGCCGAAATTTATTGTTCGTATGTACCGAAGGCTAGTTAACCATGTGACACAATAAGCTATCAATCAAAACAAAAAATCAATAATTCACTATCGGGACAATGAAATCTCAACAGATCGATCAGTTTCCAGTCCCGTTAGTATAATAGTCCCAGGTTTGATGAGTATTCACACTGGAAAGAGAAAAAAATGTCCATTTTCAAATTCTACCACCTTTATCACGTTCATTGATATATTCAATTAGTTTCATGAAAACTTTTGATTAAAGTAATAAAGAACAAATAATTTCCTGTGACCGGAAAAATCCACGAAATATCTCCCACATTGACCAGCTGGTTGGGAACCCCCCCCAAATGAGGGATATCCCTTAGACATGTTAAATGAGTGACTGTCCCTCAGACAAGGGGTCATTCTGCTGTTGTAAAAAAGAAAAAAGAAAAAAGAAAAAGAAAACTGAGCTTTTTATAACTAAAAAAGTGGAAAATTCATTATTTTTGGAACAATTTTTAATTTTGACAATATAATACCAGTGAATGCTTTTCAACTGGGGGTAGATGCCTCCAAGCAATAAAATCAAGAATAGAAATCTAAAACTTTAGTCCAACATCTTTCAGTGTAAGATACAAGACATCATACTCTACAAATGTTGTCTGTCCAAGTATCACCATTATCTACCCCACCCAGCCTTTCAACTGTTACATGGACATCGTATATTTTTCTGTTTCTGTGGGATAAGGGCCACAATTAACAAACTAATTAACCGGCCATGACTTTGGTGTGCATATGGACACAGATCCCTCCCCCTCACCCAATTTAATGAAATTTAGCTCCACTTAATACCACAATAAAATGCAGCTTGATAAGACCGCAGAGGTCGAACCCTGAACAGTTGGGGCAAGTATGGACACAACATTCAAGCTTGATACAGCTCTGATTTTGGATTGTGATTAAATATTTGACACAGCATAGGTTTCTGACACAGAATGAATGTGGTCTAAGAACTTAAAAATTTTAAATTGGACATTTACCTATTATGGTCCAATATCCAAAATCTAAATACATGGTTAGATTCAGCATATCAAAGAACCCCAAGAATTCAATTTTTGATGAAATCATACAAAAGTTTAATTTTGGACCCTTTTGACCTCAATGTGGACCAATTTGATAACAGGGCCAAAAAATCAAAAATCTAAATACATGGTTAGATTCAGCATATCAAAGAACCCCATTTATTCAATTTTTGTTGAAATCAAACAAAGTTTAATTTTGGACCCCGATTTGGACCAACTTGAAAACTGGGCCCATAATCAAAAATTTAAATACATGTTTAGGCTCCGTGTTGAAGACCGTACTGTGACCTATAATGGTTTACTTTTATAAATTTTGACTTGGATGGAGAGTTGTCTCATTGGCACTCATACCACATCTTCTTATATCTATATACTAGATTCAGCATATCAAAGAACCCCAAGAATTCAATTTTTGTTAAAATGAAACTAAGTTTAATTTTGGACCCTTTGGACCTTAATGCAGACTAATTTGAAAACGGGACCAAAAATTAAAAATCTAAATACAAGGTTAGATTCAGCATATTAAAGAACCCTACGAATTCAATTTTTGTTAAAATCAAACTAAGTTTTAATTTTGGACCCTTTGGACCTTAATGTAGACCAATTTGAAAACGGGACCAAAAATTAAAAATCTAAATACACAGTTAGAATCGGCATATCAAAGAACCCAAATAACTCAATTTTTCATGAAATCAAACAAAGTTTAATTTTGGACCCTTTGGACCTCAATGTGGACCAATTTAAAAACGGGGCCCAAAATCCAAAAACTTCATAAACACTGTTACATTCAGCATTTTAAAGAACCCCAAGAATTCAAGAATAAAACCCCATTGAAATTGGTCAAGAAATAAGCAATTTATACAAAGTATTAGAAAAGTATTGTTTTTGGCCCCTATTTCCTAAACAGTTAGTGCCATATCCCCCAAAATCAATCCCAACCTTCCTTTTTTGGTATAGAACCTTGTGGTATAATTTCAGAAAGATCCATACACTTACACACAAGTTATTGTCTGGAAACTAGAAAAATGCTTATTTGGACCCCTTTTTAGGCCCCCAATTCCTAAACTGTTGGGACCATAACCCCCAAAATCAATCCCAACCTTCCTTTGATGGATTCATAGAGATCCATTCACTTAAACTAAAGTTATTGTGTGAAAACCAAGTGTCTACGAACGACGACGACGCCAACGTCATGCCAATATACGACCGCAAATTTTTTTTGCGGTCGTATAAAAAGTTGTGCTCTGACCTACCCTATGTCATTTTGGGCATGTAATAGGAAACACACCTATATTTTATCTTGGCCCTATTACAACTTTTTATTTAATTATTTCTATCTAATGGAGATTTCAACATTATAGCCAAAAATTATAAATTTTCTAATCATATATAAACATTTCAGGGACATAAAAATCCAAAATCATGAACATTGGCAGTCAAGTCAATTCAGTGGATTGACAGGTTTGTTAAATGAACAAAAAAAAGCAGACAATGGAAACTGACAAAATCCAAGTGGTGACTGTCTTCCATTTATGTATAAAGCTAAAAACATACTTACACAGCATATAATTAATGGGTCAGTAGGTCATATCAAGCACTTTATATAGCTATATATAGTTTAATTTAAAAGAAATCTGTGTTCTTTTTTTCAATTGCATGTACTCACTGTTGTTTCATCAACTATCATCCCAGGAATAGTTAATATATCAATTTTCAAATCTCCATAGTATCTGTTTAGATCCAACAGAAGTTCGCCACCATGTTGTCCCAGAACTCTTTTAGTGGTAATATCTTGAATTAAAGGTGGTTCCATTTTTTCAGCAGCCCTTAATCTTGGCCTCTTTCTTCTATTTCCATCTGAATGTGTGCTGCTGTAAGCAGTATCAGAGGAAGACTCACTTGTGCCACTTGTAGAACTTCTCATTCTTTTTCTTTTTTGCGGACATGACTTTGCATTATTCTTTACCTAAACAAAAAAATACAAAATATATATATATATTCTATAGAATTTACAACTTCTGGCGAGTTCTTACAAGACGGGACAGACAACCAATATTTCTATGTCCAGGAACTGCTTTGCGATAAGAGCTGATATAACTGATTTTCATAAGTATGAGACATTGCTGATATGAGACGTCTGATACAAATTTCAAACAAATTGGCTACAATTGTACATATCACGGCAGTTTTAGGCCAGGAAGGACGCACAGATGCAAGCTCAGTATTTCTATGACCCCTGAATGGGGTTGGGATAGGGATCAGTTGATAAAAATTCCTTCAATTGTATAAGCAGGTATTCAATGTTTTACTATTTGGTATAAAGAACTTACCTCAACAATGGAAACACATGTATCTGTTCTTTGCTGTTGAAGTCCAAGCTTGAAAAAACGGAAATCTGGCTCTGATTTTATTGTTTTGCCTCTTAAATTTTTCCAAACTGTTTGCTCAGCCTTGGAACATATTCTTCAATAGAAAGCATTACCAGTTATTCCTTATCAAAATATAATGATCTATTTGTTTTGACTGTCTCATGTGTCTTTTAATTAGGATTCTTACTACTGGACATATAACTGCATGATGAAATTTAAAAAGGGTGTCATATACTTACTTATTAATAAATAAAAAGTTGTGGAATGATTGCCAAAGAGATAACTATCCATAAGAGTCCAATTACTCTGATTTTTGTAACTATAGGTTACTGTACAGCCTTCAACAATTAGCAAAACTCAAACCATAAAGTCATTTTGGGTGAGGGGGAGGGATCTGTGTCCATATGCACACCAAAGTCATGGCAGGTTAATTAGTTTGTTAATTGTGGCCGTTATCCCACAGAAACAGAAAAATATACGATGTCCATGTAACAGTTGAAAGGCTGGGTGGGGTAGATAATGGTGATACTTGGACAGACAACATTTGTAGAGTATGATGTCATGTATCTTACACTGAAAGATGTTGGACTAAAGTTTTAGATTTCTATTCTTGATTTTATTGCTTGGAGGCATCTACCCCCAGTTGAAAGAGGCCCCAAAATGATAAAAAGTGAAACAATTCCAACAAAAGAAACCAAGGGCTTGATGTTTAAGAAAACAATAAACAATTTATAATTTTAATTTAGCACTTGGTAAATTTATAAGTAAATAAAAGAAAAATTACACAGAATTATTCAAAATCACAATAGAAACATGGAATACATGTAGCTTATATGAAGTTTTACAATTATTTTAATTGTTTATATTGATTACATTGATCACATGCAGTTCTGTGAGTAATAAAACATGAATTTTCATCAACTCATAAATTAATTCGTAAATTAATCGATGAGTGATAGATTTCTCTTAGAAGAAAGACTACACAAAGAACAATAGCTATTGTATTTATTCAATGGGACAATAAAACAGACAAAAGTTTAAATACCTTGACCAAGAGGTGATGATTCTGTGCAAAGCTTTCATTTTGCCCCCGCTTGCATATCATATAGTTATAAAGGGACATAACTGAAGAACAGTAAAAGTGACGCTACCCAAATTTGAACTTGATCTGAGGTTTGTGTGTAAGTCTCATAACATTTGGTTGAGGCTAACTTAAGTAGAGAACAGAAACTAAAAATTCAGCAATTTTTCTATTTATAAAGGGGCATAACTCAATAATGATTAAAGTGACATTACCCAAATTCAACTTGATCTGTGTTTTATCAGTGGAAGTCAAAGTTAAACATTGCATTGTATAAAGCATTGATTGTCGTTGATTCAACTATAATCATGGACAAAGGAAGATAACTCCAATTTTAAAAATACATGTAACTTGATATTTAGAAGAAAATAAAAAATTTGCAATTTTTTCCATTTATAAAGGGGCATAACTCTAGGACAGTTAAAGTGACGCCACCAAAATTCAAACTTGATCTGTGTTTTGTGATAATAAGCACTGTATATAAGTTTCATAACATTTGGTTGAGGCAAACTTAAGTTAGAGGACGGAAACTAAAAATTTTGCAATTTTTCCATTTATAAAGGGCATAACTCTAGAACGGTTAAAGTGACGCCACCAAAATTCAAACTTGATCTGTGTTTTGTGGTAATAAGCCTTGTGTATAAGTTTCATAACATTTGGTTGAGGCAAACTCAAGTTAGAGAACAGAAACCAATTTTGGGACGTACAGACGGACAAGGGTAAAACTTAATGCCCCCACCGCTACGGCGGGGGCATAATAAAAATTAAGATGTATAAAGTATTAAATTTTACCTGAAGCAGAAGAAAAACAATTGATCCTTTTGGTCCTCACAGACTATGTCAGTGCTATTTCATTCCATCCATTGAAATGATCATTACCTATGTTATACATTCACTTCATTATAAAAAGTGAACTCTTATTTAGGTTTGAATATTACAATGGGAAAGGATAATTTTGTAAGGTCACTCGAAAAAGTGAATATGTTCTAAATTGGTCAGACAATACTTGGTCATGTTTTATGAAGATTTAAAGCCCTCGGCTTCGCCTTGGGCTTAACTCTTCATAAAACATGACCAAGTATTGTCTAACTTATAATTAGTGGTAACAAATTCCTGACTTATAGTTTACCAGTAACAGAATCATGACAATTATTCAACTTACTCTTGAAATACGGTACACTTACATAGGTTCTAGGCAACATAAATCTGCAAATCCACACACAAATCGTGAATAAACTCCTTCATAGGATTTCAATTGTCTATGATGGTCATACACTTCTGAAAGAAGTCTGTCAAAAGCAGTTATAAAACGCTTTACTTTTTGTGTAACAAAAGCTTCTTTCATGGTAGTTATCCTGAAAGCAAATAAAATATTATTATATTTGCTTACCAGTACAGCACTTAAAAGGCCATGAGCAGATCCAGCTATTTTTAAAAAAGGGGGGGGGGGGGGGGTGGTGTTCCAACCATATGTCCCCATTCAAAAGCATTGATCGTAAAAAAAATAGGGTGCCTGATGCACATTTTGTCTACATCAGACTCATCAGTTGTGCTCCGTTCAAAACTGTTGGAAAGCCAAATAAAATATGAATTCAAAAAGCATTAAAAACCAATGGATTAAACAGCATATATTTTCATACATAATGTTCCAAATATCATATGTTTGAACAAAAGCAAACACAGATTTCATTATAAACTGTACTGTTGACACAGAGATATGTATAAAATTTTGATAGTAAAATGCAAATGTTGAAATGAAAATATTGTAACTGACATTCTCCATTCTGATACAGGATACAGTACATATAAATGTATGCAGATGTTCCTAAAATTACAATAATTAGAAGCTGTTCACACTTGTAGAATTTTTTGAATCAATCCAAAAAAAAAACAGTTAGCTTTCACATTACCCTAACAATCTGTATCGGTCTAATCTGAACCACTGCTTAAAGGGGCACTAGCTACGAGATATATAAAAAATCTAAAATATCATTTTTTTTTTTAATTATGAACATGATGAAAGTGAAATATTGAAAAAATAATTCGCTTTAAGCAGTCAATTTTGTCAAAATAAGCTAAGAAAAATTGATGATGAATTATTCACTTGCAAGTGAATAATTCGACCTCATTGAATCCGTATTCATGTGAACTTCAATTTAACCCCTTAGCTAGGAATGGATTACGCATGAATTTTGCTTTATTTAAAGGAAAAGAATGTCAACATTGAAAGTGAAACAAAGGTAAATCATTTGATTGACTGATTTGATCCACAAAAAATCATTCTTATACAGGTAACAAGAGTGCATACGCTGAAATGTCTCGTCTTCTTTACTTACCATTGATATTATGCTGATAGTCCTAAATATAAAGTTTTACTTCAACTATCACATCAATTTAACATGATCCAAGAAAAATGGGTCAAGGTCAGATAAACCAAACTGGGAATACATGTACACCTTACAATCATTCCATACACCAATATGATTTAGATATAGTTGACCTATTGCATATGAAGAAACAAACTAAACCAGGAAAACTTAACATTGATCCATGAAAATGAGGCCAAGGTCAGATGAACGCTGCCAGACAGACATGTACATGTACACCTAACAATAATTATATGTTTTAAATATAGTTGACCTTTTGCATATAGTATCTAAGAAACAAACTAAACCAGTAAAACTTAAGATTCTGATTGACCAATGAACCATGAAAATGAGGTCATGGTCAGATGATAATTGCCAAACAGACATATACACCTTACAATCATTCCACACACCAAATATAGTTGACCTATTGCTAATAGTATTAGAAAAACAGACCAAAAAACAAAAAAAGATTAACATTGAGCAATGAACCATAAAAATGAGGTCAAGGTCAAATGAAACATATCAGACTGACATGTACATCGTAAAATATTTTCATACACCAAATATAGATGAAGTTGACCTATTGCATACAGTATTAAAACAACAGACCAAAACACAAAACCTAAACTTTAACCACTGAACCATGAAAATGAGGTCAAGGTCAGGTGACACCTGCCAGATGGACATGTACACCTTAGACTCATTCCTTACACCAAATATGGTAGACCTATTGCATACAGTATTAGAAAAACAGACCAAAACACAACAAGAGGCTGTCAGAGCGACAGCATACCGGATTTTCCTGCAGAGGTCGAACCCTGAACAGTTGAGCAAGTATGGACACTACATTTAAACTTAAAACAGCTCTGAATTTGGATTGTGATTGAATATTTGACACATCATAGGTTTGTGACACAAAATGAGTGTAGTCAAAGAACTGATATATTTGAAATTGGACATTTAAATACCTATTATGGTCCAATATCCAAAATCTAAGTACATATTAGAATCAGCATATCAAAGAACCCCAAGAATTCAATTTTTGATGAAATCAGACAAAATTTTAATCTAGGACCCTTTGGACCTCAATGTGGACCAATTTGATAAAGGAGCCCACAATCTAAAATCTCTCAATACATGGTTAGATTCAGCATTTCAAAGAACCCCATAAACTCAAGTTTTGTTGAATCAAACAAAGTTTAATTTTGGACCCTGATTTGGACCAACTTGAAAACTGGGCCTAAAAATCTAATATTTAAATAGAGTTTAGATTCAGCATTTGAAAGAACCCTATATATATATATTTAATTTATGTTGAAATGAAACACAGGTTAATTTTATCCATAATATCTTCTGTACAAATGGAAATAACTCAAACTGGATAAATAGTTCTCTAAAATAAGATATGATGCAATTTTTCAAATTATAATCAATAATAAACAACCAGTGATGACTAAGTTCTCTAAAATTAGATATGATTTAACACTCAAACATTGTTAGGATCAGCATATCAAAGAACCAAAGAATTCAATATTTGATGAAATTAAACAAAAATTTTAATTTAGGACCCTTTGGACCTCAATGTGGTATTATCTTATTAATAATGAAAAGCTCAACCGTTTACAAGTTCTTAAACAGGAGGGGGTGGGGTGACCCAAGGGGACTCACCTTATATTTCATTTGATTTGTTTTATTGTCCCATACAAGAATATATATGGTTTCGGGGTGGGGATCTTGACCATTTACAAGTTTTCAAAAAGAAGGGGGGTGGGGGTTACCCCAGGGGACTTTCCCTCAATTTCATTTGATTTGTTTTATTGTCCCATTCAAGAATATATATGGTATAGGTGGGGATCTCGACCGTTTACAAGTTATCAAAAAGAAGGGGGTGGGGGTTACCCCCATGGACTTTCCCTATATTTCATTTGATTTGTTTTATTGTCCCATACACGAAAATATATGGTTTCGGGATTGGGATCTTGACTGTAAACAAGTTTTCAAAAAAAAAGGGGGTGGGGGTTTCCTCAGGGGACTTCCCCTAAATATTATTTGATTTGTTTTATTGTCCCATTCAAGTATATATATGGTTTAGGGGTGGGGATCTCGAACGTTTATTACAAGTTATCAAAAAGAAGGGGGGTGGGGGTTACCCCCATGGACTTCTTCTATATTTCATTTGATTTGATTTATTGTCCCATACAAGAATATATATGGTTTCGGGGTGGGGATCTTGACCGTTTACAAGTTCTCAAATGAAGGAGGTGGGGGTGACCCCCATGGACTTCCCCTACATTCATTTGATTTGTGTCATTGTCCCATACAAGAATATATTTTGTTTAGGGGTGGGGATCTCGACCGTTTACAAGTACTCAAACTGGAGGGGGTTGGGGTGACCCCAGGGGACTCGCCTTTTACTTCATTTGATTAGTTTTATTGTCCCATACAAGAATATATATGGTTTCAGGGTGGGGATCTTGACCATTTACAAGTTTTCAAAAAGAAGGGGGGTGGGGGTTACCCCAGGGGACTTCCCCTCAATTTCATTTGATTTGTTTTAATGTCCCATTCAAGAATATAAATAGTTCAGGGGTGGGGATCTGGAATGTTTACAAGTTATCAAAAAGAAGGGGTTGTATGTTACCCCCATGGACTTCCCCAATATTTCATTTGATTTGTTTTATTGACCCATACAAGAATATATATGGTTCAGGGATAAGTCTCGACCGTTTACAAGTTATCAAAAAGAAGGGGGGTGACCCCCTGGACTACCCCTATATTTCATTTGATTAGTGTTATTGTGTCATACAAGAATATATATGGTTTAGGGCTGGGGATCTCGACCATTTACAAGTTCTCAAACAGGATGGGGTGGGGTGACCCAATATTTCGGGTAATGGGGATCTCGACCGTTTACAAGATAAAACTCAAATTTATTTCCATGAACCAGTAACAAAACACCAAAATAATTCTCTAAAATTAGATATGACTTAACCACTCATAAATCTCTAAAATTAGATATGATTTTATATCTATCAATTAAACACATCACTTTTCAAAACAAATAACTCAAACTTATTTACATAAACCAATAAAAAACCAGCAAAATACTTCTCTAAAATCAGATATCATGTTATATCTATTTCCATATTATAATCAAATTTAATTAATAGTTGCTAATATTGTTTCTTTCATGTGTCAAAAAATAATACAGATCTGAAACTTATCTATCAATGTCAAAAACTTTATCTCATAATAAAAATAGATTATTATCTAATTAAAAACAAGTTTAGATTCAGCACTTAAAGAACCCTATATATATTTAATTTATGTTCAAATATAACACACACAAACTGATTAATTTTCCCAAGGGACCTGCCCTTTATTTCATATGATTTGTTTTTTTGTCCCATACAAGGATATATATGGTTAAGGGGCAGGGATCTCAACCATTTACAAGTTCTTAAACAGGAAGAAGGTGGGAATGACCCCAAGGAACTCACCTTTTATTTCATTTCATTTGTTTTATTGTAACATACAAGAATATATATGGTTTCGCCGTGGGAATCTTGACCATTTACAAGTTTTCAAAAAAAAGGAGAGTAGGGGTTAGTTACCCCAGGGGACTTCCCCTAAATTTAATTTGCTTAAATTTATTGTCCCATACATGTACATATATGGTTTAGGGGTGGGGATCTCAACCGTTTACAAGTTTTCAAAAAGAAGGGGGTACAGTTTACCCCCAGTGGACTTCCCCTATATTTCATTTGATTTGATATATTGTCCCATACAAGAATATATATGGTTTCAGGGTGGGAATGTTGACCGTTTACAAGTTATCAAAAAAAAAGGGGGGTAGGGGTTACCCCAATGGACTTCCCCTATATTTCAATCAGAAAACAGTAAATTTTCAAATAAATCTGTCACTCCAATGATTATCATATGCTAAAATATTTCAAAGATCTAATTAATAATGAAAATAAATCATT